AGTATATTCATACAGGTAATGTAGCAACCTTTGCTCATCTCCAACGTGTATGTCAACTTTTCCCTTTCGCAGTGATCTATTTCTTTTTAGTTTCTCCATATTTGTATAAATACGATATTTACACCTGGTATCATATACCTAAGAAACTCGTGAAGTAGATGTAAGTCATACAATATTCTTTCCAATGACCTTTCATTCTATAATGAGACTAAGGGTCATTAGATTTGGTATTTGTCCTTTCGCTTATACTTTCTTAACCATATTGGGTGCTTTCACAAAGCCCCTTTAGACTTCCTCTTAATATCTTTAAAGAAATCAATGGTTTCCCCACTACCAACTTCGATAAAGGGGTTAACAGTCCTAAGCATGTTAAGCAACTCAATATTTTTGCATTCGAGCTTATTCACGTTAAATTTATAATTAGTTGTGAATAGCTTTAGCTGACAGAGGTTACAGGATCAAGTCACTACTTAGTTCATGGTTTATGATTGAATACAGTGGAGACATTTCTCAACGTCAATCATCTTCAGTGTCTAAGCATCGATTGAAGATTACTCTGTCATTTTGCACCTGTATAGTTGTTTGGAAGTCTCATATCCTTCCACACATGATTATTATCATACAACTCTTTGTAGTGAAGAATTATGTGTTAACATCTATACTCTCAAGTCGCTTTTGTAACTCAGTGACATAGTTGCAAGTATCACATACGTTGTAGTACTATTATCATCACTGCGTTTACTATAGTAGCCACCTCTTCTTCAATCGAGTCATCAGCAAGTGTCTCTGGAAAGGGCTACTCAAGGATGTGACCAATTTTCTCATGCATAAGAACAATTTTCAAATTGCAGTGTCAATTAAGAAAATATAGTTTGGTTGTTGGCATCTAGTATGCCATTCAAAACATATGGTTACTCAGATTCAATATAAATGTAAATGACGAAAAGGAAAAGAATAAAATATATAAAATGCATTAATTAATTAACATGGATTTTTATTAAATTAATTATGCTCCCACTGTTTAAATAAAATTTATGACCCTCTCACATAAATTTATGGAGTCCATGCTTGACTCCCAATGGGCTGGGATCCCATCTATTATATTAAGACCTTGAGCGTACTCAAGAAGCCCTAATATAATATTTGGGTAGATACTATTATCAATTGTATCTCCATACAACTCCCAGATCATTAAACTGACAACTCTTTGTTTTCACACATCTTATGTGTTAGCTTAACATGCCTCTAAAATTTATCTCCTTGAGTGTACTCAACAAAAGATAAATTTTAGTTAAGTCAAACCCATCATTCAGAAATATCAAATATTTCATAGTGTCAAACATATCCCTAATGGACCAGCCTTGAGTGTACTCAACAAGCTGAGACGATTTGAGACTCTGGTTTTTCACTATAATGATGGAAGGCGATTACAAATGTGACTTAATATTTTATGGAGGGATTTTGCATTTATGAGTCTCATCAACAACAATACAATCATATGTACTATTATTATACATCTACTATGCAAATAAATATATATATATATATATATGTATATATATATATAATAGTGTGGACGGACGATAATGGAC